CTATGTTAATCCTACCAATCTGTGAGCATGGGAGTTCTTTCCATCTTCTGAGATCTTCTCCAATTTCTTCATTCAAAGACTTGAAGTTCTTGTCATACAGGTCTTTCACTTGCTTGGTTAGAATTACCCCAAGATATTTTATATTGTTTGTAACTATTGTGAAGGGTATTGTTTCTCTGATTTCTTTCTCAGACCTATTATTGTTTATATATACTAATATTTTTGAGTTAATCTTGTATCCAACCATTTAATTAAAGGTGTTTATCAGGTGTAGGAGTTCTCTGGTAGATGTTTTGGTGTTACTTATGTATTATATCATGTCATCTGCAAATAACTATACTTGGACTTCTTCTTTTTCAATTTGTATCCCCTTGATCTCCTTTTGTTGTCATATTGCTCTAACTAGAACATTTTCTTGGTTTTTCAAGACAAGGTTTCTCTGTGTAGTCTTGACTTTCCTGAAACTCACTCTGCAGACCAGACTGGCCTTGAACTCACAGAGATCCACTTGCCTCTACCTCCTGCGTGCTGGGATTAAAGGGCTGCTGTACCACTACAAGGCTAGTCCTTGAATTCTTAACTAGAGCAATAAGAAAACTGAAGGAGATCCAGTAGATAAAAAATGAAAAGGAAGAAATAAAAGTATCTTTATTTGCAGATGGTGTAACAGTAATGATTAACAGACTGAAAAAGAAGTCTAGGAAATATCTTTCACAATAGCCTAAATAATATAAACTATCTTGGGGTAATCCAAGCAAGCAAATGAAAGACTTGTATGATTAAACCCTCCAGACACTGAAGAAAGTAATTGGAGAGGATATCAGAAAATAGAAAGATCTTCCACGCTCATGGATAAGTAGGATTAACATAGTAAACATGGCCATCCTATCAAAAGCAATCTACAGATTCAATGCAATCCCTATCAAAATTCCCACACAATTCCTTACAGATATTGAAAGGATGATTTTCCACTTTCATACGGAAACAAACAAACAAAGCAATCTAACAAACAATTCTGAATAATTAAAAAACTGCTCTAGATTTCACCATTCCCAATTTCAAGTTTTACTACGGAGGTATGGTATTAAAAACAGCATGGTATTGGCACAAAACAGGTACAATGATCAACAGAATCTAATTGAAGACCCAGACATAAATCTCCACACCTATGGACTCCCAATTTTTGATAAAGAAGCCAGGAATACATAGTAGGGAAAAGATAACATCTTCAACAATGGTGCTGGTGAAACTGGATGGCTAAATGTAGAAGAATGCAAATAGATTCATACTTATCATTCTGCACAAAACTTCATTCCAAATGGATCAAAGACTTTAACATAGAACCAGATACACTGAACCAGACAGAAGAAAAATTGGAGAATAGCCTGGAACTCATTGGCATGGAAAGACTTTCTGACCAGAACACTGTTAGCACAGACATTAAGATAAACATTTAGTAAATGGAACCCCATGAAACTGAGACGATTCTCTAGGGTAAAGGACACACTCATTTGAACAAAGACATAGCCTAAAAATGGAAAAGGATTTTTTTTTTACCAGCTATACATTCGATAGAGAGCTGGTAGCCAAAATATATAAAGAACTAAAAAAAGTACTTGATATCAAGGAAACCAATAACCTAATTAAAAAATGGGGTACAGATCTAAACAGAGAATTATCCACAGAGGAAACTCAAATGACTGAGAAACATTTAAACATCCTTAGACACCAGGGAAATGTAAATCAAACTACTTTGAGATTTCATCTTAAACCTGCCAGAATGGCTAAAATCAATAAAACAAGTGACAGTTCATCCTGGTGAGGATGTGAAGCAAGGGAAATACTTATCCATTGCTTGTGGGATTGCAAACTTATATAGCCACTATGGATGTCAGTGTGGTGGTTCCTCAGGAAGATGGAACTTGATCTACATCAAGATCCATCTATTCCACCCTTGGCATATACCCATAGATTGCTTCATCCTACCACAGAGACACTTGCTTAACCGTGTTCATTGCTGATCTATTCATGATAGTCAGAAATTGCAAACAACCTTCATGTCCCTCAAGAGATGAATGCATAAAGAAAATATGCTACTTTTACATGTTACAGTATTCCCCAATCATTAAAATAAGTGAAATCATGAAATTCACAGGTAAATGCATAAAAGTAGAAAAAAATCATCCCAGGAGAGGTAATCCAGACCCAGAAAGCCAAATATGGTATATAGTGTTTTATATGTGGCTATATAATATATATTATTATGTGAAGCCAATAATAACCAAGTCACAATCTGTAGAATAACAGATGCATAGAGGTCTGGAGTGTACTGGGGAGTGACAGATAGTTCTTTTTAGGAAAGGGAAATAGAATAGATAATCATGGATGAGTGTGGATGTGGTAGACTGGAATAGCAGGGTCAAGTGGAGAGGTAGAGGGAGGAGGGGATTGAAAGAGGTAATACAGGGAGAGACAGCTAGAATATAGGGTCATTTGAGGGGTAATATGGAAGCCTAATACAGTAGAAGAAACATATATATATATATGATCTGAATGAAAATGTCAAATAACCAGGGGGATAGAGCCTCAACTAGACATCCCTTGCCACTAAATAAAGCTTTCAGTGCTGGGATTGTGTTACATTTAATTGAGTTGTTGGCCAAAGGAGAACCTCCAAACAACCGAGGCTGTTGCCAAGACTATAGGTTCCTCTCCACAAGCTGTTTGGCAAAGCTCCATTGCTGAAGACAATACCTACACAACTCACTTGAACATGGAGAAGTCAAGCAGGTGCCTCCATAGAGCCTTTTCACCTTTAGTATAGGAAGGTACTCTGCACACTGCTAAAGGAGAAATGTGAACACCAACCAGTCACAACCCTTTGATCTACAATAGTGTTCTGCCTGCAAGATAAGCTATGCAATGGTGACACAATGTTTGTGGGAGTAATCAACCAATATCTAATTTGACTGAGGCCCACTCCAGGAGATAGAACCCTTCCCCATACTGCATGGGTGATCAAGAACCTGAGACTCAGGGACCTAGGGTAAAACCAAACACTAATGCTCTAAAACAACAACAAAACAAAACAAAACAAACAAGAAGAAATCCCCCAACACAATAATGTAGCAATGAAATTACTCCTGATGACTTTCTGCTACACTCAAATGATCAGTGCCTTGCTCAGCCATCATCAGAGCAGCTATTTCCTGCAGCAGAAGGGAACAAATACTGAGACACACAGCCAGACATTATGCAGATAACAAAGGACTTTGGAACACTAGGCCCTAAATGGAATGCCTCTATTAAATCCTTACCCTTAAAGCTCATGGAACAGTGCAGAAGAGGAAACAGTGTAAGAGCCAGAGGTGATGGAGGAACACCAAGAAAACAGGGCCCTTTAAATCAACATGATCAGAGATCATAGAACTCATAGAACTTGAGATAGCATGCATAGGGCCTTTATGGATCTGCATCGTCCTAGATTTGAAACTAGAAGTAGATGCATGCCCCATCCCTAACCTATAAGCCATCTCCAATTGATAACCACTTGCAAATGTATATTGAGTTTTCTCCAAGGGAGTTTCACTGGGAAACAAACTACTCTTAAGGGTAGGCTGCATGCCCAGCAGTAGATGGCTAACAAATTAACTTATCGACATCTTTGGATGTTCTTTGTCTCATAACAGTTTGTCAGGGCTTGTCCTACCCACCCCCACCTTTTAAAGTTTTATCTTTTTAAAATTTGTATTAATATATGCTCTTATTCTCTTTTTTTTACTCTACAGGTACTTTGTGTATATATTATGATTTCTTTTTTACTGAGTGTGTGAATGAGTGGGTCTCTGTTTCTTGTGCTTTTGCTTGGACTCTTTCCTCTCTGGTTGTTTTGTCCAATCCCTATGTGTTAGTTTTTGTTTTATTTTATCATTATCCCATAGAAGCTTATTTTTTTTCTAGTGAAAGACAGAAAGGGAATGGATCCAAATGGGAGAGGAGGTGTGGGGGAGCCAGGAGGACTAGAGGCTGGGGAAAACACTAATCAGGATGTATTATGTGAAAAAAAACTATTTTCAGTTAAAAAAAGAAAGAAAGGAAGGAAGAAAAGAGGAGAAAATAAAACTAGAATGCTTCCAACAGATGAGGAAAGGAGCCAAAACTGTGCAGACAATGGAGTCAGCAGGGCAGAGTATGGATAACAAGTCTTCCTTGTTATCCTCAGTCCTCCTATACTGTTGATGTTTCCTTCTGTTTCTTCAGTTGCATACACATATTTCCACTACCTTTAAGGACAATTAATAATGCTGCCTGCTTTACCGTTTTTTCTCTGAAATGTTGCTAGTCCATTTCCGTTTACATCTTCTGCAGGTTTCCAGAAAGCTAAATAATACTTGCCCCTACCCCACTTCAATACCCATTGCCTCTGCTAATTTCTTGAAACCCAATTCTGCTTCCTGCTAATCAATCTTTCCCTCATATTGCCTGGCTGACCATTGTACTTCAAGGGCTTGCATACCAGGAACCATCTATGGGTTTGCAGTTCCTGTACCAACTGGCTGATTTGTTTTTCTCCTACAGCAGTAAGGGGCTGATTCACTCCATCCATGGTTGCTACTCTCCCTTTGCTGAGTGAGCATTCTATGAAAACATGAATTAGTGTCTATTTTGCTCTTTAAGGCATTTATTCATAGATACCAATGTGTGTGCCAATATGTTAATATCATAATAAAACACGTGACAAGGACTTCTGGGCAGATGAATAGGAAGTGAGTAATTGAATGTGGAGGTTGATGGGTCTTTAGTGATGACCCTGTTTATGTTTTGTGTAAAATGGTTGCCAGACACTCACTGAGTTGAGTCAGATAGCTTGGTAAAGTAGGAAGGTGAATGAGATGGCCAGCCCAAGAGGCCATAGAAAATAACTAGAGGTAGTGGGCAGAAAGTAGACACGACGGTCTAAGGAAGCCTAGTCCCGAAGGAAGGCAACTGTTTCCTTCTACCTCCTGCTCATCACCATCACAAGAGAGGAGGCTTTGAAGCAAATATCTGCTCTGGTCACTTTGCTGTTTCGAAACTCAAGTTGCTCTCAGATTGCCTGCAGGATAAAAACAGAAACAGTCTCCTGAGCAGGAGGCACTGCCAGGTCTAACCCTTCATACTGCCTTGTTTATGAACCCTGCCAGGCACGCAGCATACTCTAAGCCAGTTCTTGACCTTGAGCTTGGGAAATGCATGGGGGCCTTGTTAACACACAGATAGCAGGACCCAGTCTACAAGTTTCTCATTTCTTAGGTTTGTGGTAGAGCTAGGGGAAAAAACAACAACAACAAAAAAAACCAAATTGCTAACAAATTTTGGGGGATGTTGATGATAGATACTGGGCCCACCATCCATAAAAGCATAGTAGCTTCTTAGATTGGGGGTTATGACTCTATATTGGAGTATGTAACTAAATCTGAAGATCACGAAAAGGATGACAACATTAGAAGTGTTTTTTTCAATATATAATCACCCAAAATTAATTCAAGTCAGATGTGTAATAAGTATGGGATATTTCTGGGAGTGCTGCCCTTGTTGGATCGTGGAACTTTACTGCAGTCTTGGTTCTAAAGACATCACAAGTGCAATGCCAATGAAAGCTGTCGCAAACACCTCGGCTCAGATTCAAGACTATTATGTTATGAATTGCTGTGTTTGTGCTGTATATACAAAATTTCCTCTATTATGGAAATATAATGGTTTAATTATAGAAAACAGATTTAAAAAATATTTTCCGACTGTCATTCCTCTACATGGAAGTAGCAAATGAATATATCTTAATATTGTATTCTGCTAGAATGTTTGAATTTAAAAATTGCTATTTGAGTTAATGACTCAAGTTTCATAAAATATTGTTTGATGACTTCTGCTATGCGACAGAATTTCCAACAATTTCTGAAATAGCCTCAAAGTTGTGTCAGTTTGTTCTATGTACTCACTCGAAGCGCAGTCCTCAACACAGACGAATATAAAGTCAAAATACCGGTCAGTTCCCAAAGATCTATGTCCTGTGGAATGAAATATTCAGCTAAGATTTAATTATTTATGTAAAAATAAACACATCCATCTCATTAGTAAAAAATGCTTTCATCTTTAACAAATGGTTATACCACATATACGCTAAGGAATTTTAAAAACAAATTTCTTTATGATTTATTATGAGTAAATGTTTGATTGGTGTGTCTACACTTAACATCAGGCTCTCCTGACTCTGCCTCTGTTAACAATACTTCATCTTGTCATTGTTGTCTGAGGAAAACTTGAAAACTTGTAGACCAATTCTCCTCAGTGGCTACACAGCCTGAATCCAGTCTCTCTCCTAACAGTTACTGGGCACCTGTGATATAGCAAGCACTAGACTAAATTCCATTTGAGGAGACAATTCAAAGAGCAGTAAAAGTCAGCCCCCGAACCTCTGACATGTGCAGTCTTGTATTAACATGCTGATGTGCTGGTTGCTCTGGTGAGTACCCTGGGTGGTCTGAAGGCTTGCCTGGAAGAAAACTCCAGGGAGGTGGGGGCCAGCAGCTCTAATCACAATCTGAAGAGGAAGAATGATTGAGGGACTGAAGGCTGACAGCATTGATACATTGGTCCTTCCTCCACCTTCACCACAGATTTCTTAAATGCCACAGCAGAACTCTCTTTCTCTTCCTTTTTAAAAATTCTGGGCTGCCTCCAGCGAATAAAAGACGCTTGTTTCTGAATGAATGAAATGAGCACCAGTGTGTCCAATTTGTTTTTTGCTCCCAAGTTTATTTAAACAGAAAAGGCCATGACAGACGACATCTGTGCCATATACATTTGTCACATTTATGTCACATTTCTGTTAACATGCAGCTTTTGAAAGTACATTTCATAGTTCTCCATTATCTTCTGTTGTCCTCCCATTTTTATCTGATCAATTAGGAGGTAGCTTTTGACCAGGCAGCCATTAGGCAGAGAGCCCTGTATTTACCTACTTGACAGAGCCTGAACCTGAGCATTTCTAAACAACGATTTGAAAAACTAAGATATTAACTTTACAGAGACATTAATTTTCCTAAAATAAACTTAAAAATTAAAAAGGAAAGAAGAAACCAGAAAACCAGAATGGTAGAGTGAGACCTTTTTAAAAAAAGAAAAGAAAAACAAAAAGCGAAAAAAATCCAAACCAAAACAAAAAAAACTTACACTTGGCTTTTTTCCTGCTTACATCACAGTAGCATAGCGCCACTTTGCCATCTAGTGTTGTGGGTCAGTATTACCTGTGGCGGAAGCAATGAGCACTTTTCCTGTCTGGCTCCTTCGAGTTTACTGGAGCTCACAAAGCCCAGTGCAATACTTAACTGTACTTGGAAGAACATAGATACTATTCGATAAAAGCCAATCTTCCTTCCCATTTTTCTCTTCTCAATGTCTAATAAACAGCCAAGTACTCCTGAATTCAACTTCACAGCTGGTGTCCTTAGAACAACACCCTGCCATATGCTATTAAAGTGGTGTGAGTTCAAGGCTAGCCTGAACTACATATATAGTGAGACCTTGCTACAAAAAGACAAAGACCTCTTCTTGGATGGAGCTCCGTGGTACATCTCTCTTGCTTAGCATGTACTAAGGACCCGAGTTCCACAGCAAGCATTATTTAAAAAAATAAAAATAAAAAAGGAAGGCAGGGGAGGTATTCTTCCCCAGACTTCCATCTGCTGGGAGATTCCCTCCAAGATGGAAGAGGCTGTAGAGGGACTGACAGAGCAGCTGAGAAGGATCTTTGTCTCTCAGCTACAACTGACACCAGACTAAGCATCAGTTTCAAAGCAGATTGCAGTTGATGAGGAAAGCCTGCATGAAGGTTATACATTTAGTGAGTGGAGCAATACCATCAGGGTGCAAGTTCAAGTCTTTCTTCTGCCCTCTATTAGCTGTAGGAGCTTGAGTGAGTCATTTGGCCTTTCTGCACTTCAATTCCCTCATCTGTCTAACTGAGATGATAATACTACCATATGTTGCCTACACTGGGTTCAAATTCCTGGCCTTAAGTGAACCTCTTGAATAGCTCCTCTTAGAGTCATTTACCACTGTGCCAGTCCAAGAAACCATTGTGTAAGAACTTCACTCATGACTTACTACTGGAGTGATTCTTACACAAATTTCTTAACGTCTTTCAGCCTCAGTTTAAATATTTGTTTACAAATACCTCATATCTAGCCTATGGGACAGTCAGAGCAGATCTTTTTAACACATTCTCCTGCTGTATAACAAAACCTCCCAGTAATAATCATGAAATCAAATTAGTAAAACCGAAATGACCCAAATGAGACACAGATTATGAAAATATTTTGATTTGTTGGACATCCATGTTAGTAAAAAGCAAATATTACTATGAAAAGGAAAAGAAATTGGATGAATATTTTAATTCATATGAATATCCTTTTAAATATTTTTTTATTAACTTTTGAATTTATTTTACATACCAACCACAGTTTCCTTTGAATATAATTGTTAAGAAGTAGCCTATGTGTGATGGGGATGTCCTTCTGTATATATGTTTCTCTTATTGGTTGATGAATAAAACATTGTTTGGCCAATATCTAGGAGAGGCAGGAAGATAGATGGGGTTAGGAGACGAAGATAATTCTGGGAAAGGTAGGCAAAGAGGCACCACAAAAGGATGCCATGTTGAGACTGGGAAAACAGGACATGCCAGGCGTACTCTGGTAAGATAAGACCATGTGTTTTTAAGAAGTAGCCTATGTGAGTTAACTTTATCCTACTGAGTGATCATTGTAGGTATCCAGGGTTGATATGCATGTAGAATGATGGATATAAGCATCTCGAGTTCTGTTTCTTCCTTCTACAGTCATCGTATTCTTGTGATTTCAGAGCTACTGTACGGATGCAGCAGCATGTAGAAGCACAGACACTGGAGAGGCAAATTGAATAAGAAGTTAGCTGAAATTATTCTAAACAAACTCAAGGCTTATTTGAGAATTAGATGTTCGTGGCAGGGTCCACATGGTTCAGTGGACTCACTTGAGTGTTTTGCATTGTTTTCCTCAGAGAAAACATTTGTTATTAGAGGATAAGTGATGAAAATGTGCTATATGAGGTACATATAAAGTGCATGTAATATATATATGCATATAGTATATGTATAAAATGCATAGTATATATATGTAATGTCAACTCATCAGGAATTTCTACAACTATAGGACTTAGTCAAGGTAACTGAGGGGTGAAGGGAAGAGCATTGTATTATTCACATTTAAAATAGTGAGGGCACATGGAGAAACAAAACACACAATATCAATTTGTATTTGGTTTATCATTCTTTTTAATATTTCCATGAGTAATGGATTTTCTTATTGCTTGTACCTAGGGCAGAGTAAGTACTTCCAATGTCCTGTCCTTGGTGCCAATTGTTTCCAAGACTTATATGAGGAAAGCTGCCAGGATAATGCATATCCAATATTATCTCATCGGTTATGGTTATCTCCTTCTCCACCTCTCTTCTGCCCACCCACAGTCTGTTCCCCATCCACTAATAAATAGGTGAATACATGATTTTGAACCTCAGGTAACCAAGGAATGAATGAGCCTCTAAATGACAGTTTCAATGTCTTACATTATTTTAAGACAAGTAAGCAGCAACTTAGGCCTTAATTCAGAAGCATGGTCATTCTCTAGAATTCCTCTTAGAATGTCTTTCAATATCAAAAGGAAGGTGGTGTCCTGAGCTGTGGCGGCACATGGCCATGCAGGTACCACCCTGGCTGTTGATTGGCAAAATTGTCACTTGCTTCTTAGGTCTTAGATCTGTTCCTTGTCCTTAATATCTTCCACTGTGTGTCACAAAATACTCCATTTACTTAGCTTTGGTAGGTTAGGCCAATAGAGGGCAAACAAAAATGGAGGAAACCTGGAGGAGGCCTGGCTATGTCTCCACTCTCCCACTGCCTCAGGCAGCTACTCCACAGAGACACATTTCCTGAAAAGTTAATGAAGCTGAGGCTCCAGGGCCTCTCACTTGCACAGGCTTCTTCCAATGCCCTGTGTGCATACTTTTGAGCAGCTTTATTGAAATATAATTTACGTGCCATAAAATTCACCCATTGTGCGTATATGGTTCAATGGTTTTTACTAAATTTATTGAGTTGTACAACCATCACCACAATCCAGTTTTAGAACACCCCCATCACCTCCCCCCCAAAAAACCTCCCCTGTGTCTGTTTTCAGTCAATCCTGGCTCCCAACCCTAGGCTCTAGTAACCACTAATTTGCTTTCTGTCTCTACGGATTTGCTTATTCCCAAACATTTCACATCAATGACATTGTAGTATGACGTCTTTTGTAACTGGTTTCCTTCACTGTGCCAGGCATTTTTGAGGTTCATCCATGTAGGAGCAGACATCAGTAATTTATTCTTTTATATTGCCAAGTACAGTTTCAATGGCTGGACATTTCATATTTTTTTTTAGTATATTCACCAACTGAAAGATGTATGTCTGATTTTGCAGTTGTAAGTTTGTGTCTTTTCTGAAAAGCATTCCCTAGATTCTGTAAGCATTTGGTCTCTGAAGCCTGGAGCTTCCCCAACCTCTGTGTCTCTAGCCCTGTGGCAGGCAGCCTTAGAGTCTCTGGTGATCCTTGTTTCTACGTATCAGTTCACTGTCCCTGAATATGGGATAGACTTAGGGGTTTCATTCTACCAAAGAGAATGTGGCTTCAAATTTGGGATGTCATTTCCAAGAACGTTAGAAAAAATGTACTGTGCCTTATTTTCTCTTGTTTTTGCCACATGCCTTTTCTCTTAGAGCAGAGAACTGATGCTTTTCTCCAGTAGCCAATAAAGAGAGGCTTGCCATGTCCATGTAATTGAGCCTGGAAGTATTCTGTTGCCTAGTTAAATGTAAAGATAACTACATCCCTTAGAGATACCTTCATGAGAATCCTTGAGCCAGAACCACCAGCCAGAACCACTACTCAGATTCCTGCAGGCACTTTAAGGTAGTAATTAAGTCCCACATTTGCAGCAACTAGGGGTTGGTATCATTTGCTTTTTTAATTTTTAAAATATAAGTTATTTAATTTTTACTTTATGTGCACTGGAGTGAAGATATCAGATTCCATGGAAGTGGAGTTACAGACAGGTGTGAGCTGCCATGGGGATACTGAGAATTGAACCTGGGTCCTCTGGAAGAGCAACCAGTGCTCTTAACCACTGAGCCATCTCTCCAGCCCCCTTGGTATTATTTGTTAAGCATGATAAACCATTATAGTTTACCCTAAAGGTAGTAGAACTTCCCGCTGTGGTCAATCTGTGTTGCCTTACAGGTTTTCTTGTTGGTCTTTCCTTCTCCAAGGCCCCATCTAGACTTCTTTTGTTATTGGTACCCTCTGTTTGAAACACTTAGAGCAGTGTCTGCTTCTAACACTGGGTGGGGGCATTTCATCTTCTGTGACACATAGCTTTCTTGAGCCTTCACTGGTCTGTTTTGAGAAAGAAAAAAATCAGTGTGGGGGAATGAGCGTTCTGGAGGCCCTAAAATCAGTCTTCACAAATAAAATAGGACAAGACAGAAAGCCAGCTAGTTAGCTTGCCAACAGCACAGCAACAGAAGTGATGACAGAATGACTGAGCAGCCTTGTTACCACTCTTCTCCACCATGAGCATTATGGAGCAGGGATAGATACATGAACAACAATGTGTGTTCTCCAATGTAGCTTCAGCCCTTGGGATTCCCCTTTGGTGCTGCTGGGACAGGCAATGTTGGATTCTGCAACAGGGCATAACAGGATCATGATCATATGGGGCCAAACATCACTCCTGAAGGGCTCCAGTAGCCTTGGCCTCATGTTGCTCATACTTTGGCTTGCTTGTTGTGGGAATGGATTTCAGACCCCGTCAGAATGCATCACCAGTTTGCACAGACAGCTGGAAGGCAGTAGAAGTAGACTAGTGCACTAGGAAGTCCAGTGTATCCTTGTCCCTCTGGTTCATCAAGAATCTGCTCTCCTCTAGAGCAGTATAGGAAAACAGAAAAGAAGCCCTTGGCATCGGCTTCTCATCTTTCCATCCCTATTTGGTGGGGAGGAGGGACTGTTGCCTAGGTGAACCCTTTTCATTGGAAACTGTTTTGCTTCCAGCCCTCAGCACTATTATTGCTTCTGCTGGGTGGATGCTCAGGAGTAAACAGACCACAGAGAAAGCCCCATGGCATCACTTGGTCCCTTTTGGGTTGAGTGGTCCATGCCAGCAACAATCATTCTTCACTTACACCCCGTGGTCTACTGCTTCTGGCAGCTTCTCCCTTTCTCCTGTGTGATTTCATGGACCAGCACCTTCAGCCCCACTCCCCAGCTCTGACAGAGGCATTGGCAGCTTCCTCTGACACAACTGAGCTCAGAAGCTCTCCCTCAGTTGCAGAGGTGATGAATTGCCTTGGAGTTATCGTGCCTTTCTCATCACTGCAGACACTCAGCTGACAGAGGGACAGACAGAATGTTGGCAATAGGTGAGTCTGATGTCAGAAACCCTGTATGCAGTTGGTTTCCAAGAGCATAGTCTGAACAGTGAAGAAGGGCATACAAAGAAGGAAATTAGGAATCAAATGGCTGGGAGGGTTACAAGATTGATTTTACTCTTGCTGCATCTGTCAGCTGCTTGGGGAATCTGAGCCCAGGCCTCAGCTATAGCTGGGGAGAAGTTAAAGACAATGGCTAATAAGAAAAATGCTTCCCCTGCCTTCTAAAGACCACTGCAGTTTTCTCTTGCTGGAATAGATTTCACTAAGCAACTCAGTATTGACTCTCATTTACATCTTCATTAAATATTAATCTGTTCTCCTGTAATTGTTCACTGCTTTTAAATCTGGGCTGGGTTGCGTGGAACCTCACTGAGTGTTCACCTCTGCTTTGGGCTCCCTGATCTCATTGGGATGTCACCATCAAACCAAGTCCAATGTAGGGGACAAGCACAAAAGCACAGGAGTCACTCTATGCCCACCAGTGTGTCAAATGGCTATTACATGTGTGGTGATCACATGTGTGATGATGAGATTGTTATGCAGCCTCTCAAGGACTCTGCAGGTGAATTGCCTATCACTTAGTCCTTTACTTTTTTAGCATGCCCATAAATTACAACACAGCAATGCTCATATGGAAAAGATTCATTTAGGAAATCTTTTCTGGGGTGGTGGTATAAAAGAGGGGTATTAATGACTTCACTAGACCCAGGATAAATGATAAATGGGTGTTTTATTGGGGAACAATTTACATAGAAAATAGTAAAGAGCTGTGGAGGCTTTCCTGCTCCAGAAGATCCAGACTCTGCCCTTCTGATGCGCTCTGTGTGACCCAAGAGGGAGTGCTGGCCCATACTACTTTTCTCTGCTTTCCAGTCATGTCCGCACCTGAAGCTAGGCCCAAAGGGGTGTGGCCAATAACACAAATTCACTGGCAAGGCAAGATGCTGCTAGAAAGGGTTGGGGGTGCTGGAGAGAAGGCTCAGCAGTTAAGCGCACTTGTTCTTGCAGAAAATCCAAGTGCGATTCCCAGCACCCACATGGTGACTTACAACAGTCTGTAACTCCAGTTATAGAGAATCTAATGACTTCTTCTGAAGTCATCGGGCTTCTGCATGCCGATAATGTGCATACATACACTCAGGCACACACAACATAGATAAACAAGTATCAAAAAATATTCTCACATATCAGCTAGGTTTCTAGTCATCATAAACACCATCAACTTAGTGAGGAGAAAACCAGAAACCAGGCCCACTTTATGGACGAGGAAGAAGATATAATGACAAGCAGTAGTTCATGTTTGGCAAGGAGCCACTTTCTCAAGTGACAGCTTATTATCATACATCTTATGGGGCACAGTAAGAGTAAATTGAGGTTTAATTCTATTGAAATATTTAAAAATGAGAGCACTCACTTGCTGTATTAATTTTAGTGCTTTTTATATGCATTTAACTTAACTAACTACAATAGCTCCAACATTAAGGAGATTTCTGATTTAATGCAGCAAGAATCCAGAGATTGGTTGTTTCAGGATTGGTTCAGTGCATCCACCCTAGAATCAGGGACTCAGGTCTTTCATCCTCTTACTCTGCCCTCTTCAAAGTGTTGTCTAGGTAACAGTGCTTGCCCCACCATGGTTACAAAATGTCTCCAAGTGTTTCAGTCATTGAATGTATATATAACAAATATCCTACTGAATAAGGAGCAGTCTCCATCCAGGAAACATTTCTTTTTACAAAAGAAACTTTCTTAAAATCCTTAATGTCCAGGATTGTTCTCTCCTATCTATCATAGAGGAGGAAACAACCTTTGTCCTTCTAACTAAACAAACAACCTTTGTCTAAATCTAAGTGTCCTGCCACACTTAGATTTAACTTCCATAATGCAGGTCTAATTCTGTCAGAACCTTCACCTGAAATTACATTATGTTAAAGTTTGAATGACCAGCAAGTTCCCAGAAGCCACTTGTTCAGCCATGTATCTTCATAGTTCCAACAATGTCTATTTTGGAAAATAACAATACTGTCTAATGACATCTCTCCTATCCATCAGAGTTGTATTTTCTTTTCTTGTCCTTCTTTTTTGCTTTTTTTGAGACAGAGTTTCTTTCTGTATCCCTGGCTGTCCTGGAACTCACTTTGTAGACCAGACTGGCCTTGAACTCACAGAGATCTGCCTGCCTCTGCCTCCTGAGTGCTGTGATCAAAGGTGTGAGCCACCACTGCCTGGCCAAGAGTTGTATTTTCAATCCCGGTGGATGCCTGAAACTATACATTGTATCAAAGATTACATACACTATGAACTTTTTCTATACATACAGACTATGATAAAATTGATTTGACAATTTGGCACAGTGAGAGAGTCACAGTAACAATTAGTAATAAAATAGAAGAATTACAATATATCATGTTAAAAGGATATTACAATAGAGTATTATAATACACTGTAATAAAATCAGCATCTATTCTCTCTCTCAACATGTAATTTTCCACCAAATATTTTTGGATCATGGTGATCAAAACTGCCAAAACCAAAATTGTGGGTACAGGGAGTTACTGTAACAATACTAATCATATGAGCTGGAGTTCAACATTAAAAGAAAACTGCTATCAACATGGGCTCAAATGATCTGGATTGTTGGCATTTATTTTGTTGCTGTTGTTGCTAGGAGAGTGTCAACCTAAGCACAAGACTAAATGGGCCACACTTAATATGCAGAAGAACAAACACAAACTAGAAGATCTTTATTCTTGTACTTTAAAGTTGGATGATAAACAAAATTGGCTACAGATACAGGCTCATCACAAGGAATGGTTGAGAAAAATAAAGACCCAATTTTGTGGCCCCCACATATTAGCTTATGTTGACCTCATTGGTTACACTTATTCATTTGAGCCCAGTGAGAATAAATTATCATTCACCTATGTTTTGCATTGGAGTTTCTGTCAACAAGTAATCAAGTCTCTCCAGATGTTTCATTTACTATAACAAAGCCACTGTCATGAACAATAACGCACAGATGTTCCCTTTGAAAAACAGATTAAAAATGTTTTTGTTAATGTTTTCAAATTATCAAATGAATTGGGAAGAATATGGGTACAAAATTGGTTTCAGGACTATGTATTTGAAACTTCATTTTAAAAAAATTAATTAACTGTAACCTCTTTGGATAAGATTAATCAAACTTCAACAAATAAAGCAGAGAACTAAGCGGCGTGGGTTTTGTTGTCAAGTGATATTCTGAAATCTGCTTTTTTAGAGAAGTCTTTTCTTTCTGTCTGATTCATTATGTTCCCACACCCTTTCTTTCCCTCACCATGCTTTGACATGGGGTCTATTTGCTATTGTGTCTGAGTCTTTGTTTCTGGAACTTTCTTCCCCTTTATTTTCTAATTCTTTTTTAAGATCTGAAAGCTCCATTCATGGCCCCTTGTTAGCCATAGCATTTCAGAACTCTGCCATGACTGGTTTAAGTCACTCTTTATAACTGTCTGGTTTTCTTATTTTCTTTTTAACATCATTTTGCATCATGGCATAATCCATTTCATTTGTCTTATTTTTCTGCTGTGCCTTTGTTATCTCTTGATATGCGGTTTGATTCTTTTCCTCTTTTCACAGATGTTCCTGTAAGGACTTGGGTCTTGAATATTTTATTGTTCACATTTAAAAGAGATATATCTTCTTATGCTTTTAGGATAAAGATTATGAATTGGGAGCAAGCAAGTGAGGGGTGCTGTTATGGACAGAATGTTTGTGACCTGCTCTCCCCCAATTTATGGCTTGAAATTCTCACTCCAGTATTGTGATATTAGAAATGGGGGCTTTTGCGTGGTGATTAACTCATGAAGTTGAATCCACTGTGAATGGGATTAGTGTCCTTATATAGGAAACCCACAAACACAACTCTTTCCACCACATAAGAGTAGGAGAGAAGAAGTTGGTGGTCTGCAACCTAGAAGGGGCTTATCCTTAGAACTCAACTGTGATAGCACTTGATCTCAGGCTTCCTTGCTTTTAGATTTGTGAGTAAAGAGTACTGCTTGCTAGTTTATAGGCTTCATAGACTACAGTATATACTACAAGATATATAAGTACATAGTACTCAGTACCTGGTACTTAGTACATAATAGAGTGTGTATCACTCAGCTATGTATAATTCAGCCCAAAGAGAGCAATACAGCTGTTTCCCTGCTCCTCTGAAGGCTCCTGACTGACTTGACTGGGAAGTAGCATTGGCCTCATGGGCATATGGCTTGTGCAATCACGTGGGGTCCTCTCTGTTTTGCGTTTCATGCTCTGTTGATGCAGTCATGAAAATTATTTTAATAGAGTTTTGAACAAGGAGCTCTGGATTTTCATTTTGTACTGTTCTCTGTAAATTATGTAACTAGTCCCACTAAGGAATATTTAAGACCCTGGCCTTTGGGGGTGTGGGGGTGTAAGGAAAGAGCTAATACTGACTGCTGCTTAGCTGAATATAGTATCAAACTGCTTTTTAAATATGTGTGCTTATATCACAGATAAAGGCTACTCTCCGTCTTATAGAGAAGCCTCTTCTTGAAGTGAGTGGAGGTGAATGCAGAGACCCATAGATGCACAAGATACTGAAAATAAATGATGGCTGAAAGCTCAGCCCTAAACAAGACATTTATATCAACCTTTGAAGGCTCGATGGACATTGCGGAAGATGGGCAGTGAGGTGTGGAAGAGCTGGAAGATATGGAGAAGGGATTTGAAATGTCATCATTTAAGAATGACATGGCTATGGCAATCTTGAAGTAACAGCAACGGCACCTGCTGGCACTGGGCCCACACATGTTGGGCACTCCTAACAGTCACCTATAGATGGGGAAAGGTCTCATGGGGCCCTATCACTTACTGTTGTTCTATTGGCAACTAACAAATTCCTGGAGAAAGGAAGTCATAGTATCCAGTTTTGTATTCATTAGTGATCTCACTGGACTCTGACAGAGAGTTCTGAACCTGTGCTCATAAAGAGACAGCCCTAGATAAATGTTGGAGCACACAAAACAAGACAAGAAGTCATGAATATGAGAAGGATTTGTTCAGAAGGGAGGTAGAAATGGTGGAGGGGAAGTAAGAAAGGGTGTAGGGAAGAGTAAATAAGAGAACTTATTAATAAAACAAAAATATGAAACAAGGACAAACAAACAACCCTGTTCTCTCTATGTACCTGCTTTTACATTTTTGATGTCAGTGTCCTTGTGTTCACTCTGGCCAACATGTGAACAGTCTCTGTCTGTCTCTCATGTACTCCATTCCTCTATCTCTCAGTAATCTCTCACCTCCTCTGTTCTTCCCCCACTCTTTCTGTGTGAATGGGAGATATTATTCCGAGATTTTATGGTCCTTGTGTGCTGAATCTACTTCTTTGTCTTGGAACAGTCCTACAGACTCTTAGGGGGCCCTTATGACCCTTTCTGGACTCACCTGCAGGTACAATCTCTGAAGCTGTTTCTCACTCAAGATGGCAATTCTTCTTTTAGAAGTTGGTGTCTAGTGGCAAGGACTGTGTCCTAAGATTCTTTCCCCCACTTTTAAAGTTTAAATTAGAAACAAGCTTGTTTTACATGTCAATCCAAGTTCCCTCTTCCTCCCCTCCTCTCCTGGCCTCCACCAACCCTCTATCCCATCTCCTTTCTGCTCCCCAGGAGAGTGAGGCCTTCCATGGGATATCTTCAAAGTCTATCATTTGGAGCAGGGCCCAGACCCTCCCCTGTGTGTCTAGGCTGAGGGAGTATCCCTCTATGTGGAGTAGGCTTCCAAAGTCCATTCGTGTACTAGGGATGAATCCTGATCTACTACCAGAGGCCTCATAGATTGCCCAGGCCTCCTAACTGACACCCACGTTCAGGGGGTCTGGAACAGTCCTATTCTGGTTTTCCAACTATCAGTCTGGGGACAATGAACTTCCACTTGCTCAGGTCAGCTGTTTCTGTGGGTTTCTCCAGCCTGGTCTTGACCACTTTGCTCATCACTCCTCCTTCTCTGCAACTGGATTCCAGAGTTCAGCTCAGTGTTTAGCTGTGGGTGTCTGCTTCTGTTTCTATCAGCTACTGGATGAAGGCTCTATGATGGCATCTAAGGTAATCGTCAATCTCATTATTGGAGAAAGGCATTTATGGTAGCCTCTAGACTATTGCTTAGATTTTTAGTTGGGGTCAACCTGTGTCCTAAGTTTCTTAGGGGGATCAGACACCCTTTTCCTTTCCCTCCATAAAGTCAGAGTTACTACTGCTGATGTTTGATCCACTATCCCCATTTTGGGAGTACTCATCATTTCTTTTGGAAAGATGTTAGTCATTACTCCTTTATTAGCCCAATTGTCAGGGGGATTTGAAAATACTTTAAAAACTGCATTGTCAACATGATCTTGCTCCAACCATAAGCTAAAAAAGTTTAATTTGATTACTATGGAATCATTAAACTTAATGATTCATGAATTAATGTTTGAAGCAAAACTCTTGTTTTTTAGCTAATGATATATTTTAAATTAATTTATTTTTATTTTTATGTGCATTAGTGTTTTGCCTGTATGTATGTCTGTGTAACAGTGTTGGACCCTGGAGTTACAGACCATTGTGGGCTGCCATGTGGGTTCTGGGAATCAAACCTGGGTCTTCTGGAAGAGCAGTCAGTGCTCTTAACTGTTGAGCCATCTCTTCAGCCCTAAACTAATGGTATTTTTAATTGATCAATCCAAATAATTTGCATTATTGGGTAGAACATAATATTTTGAAATATATAAACAATAAAGAAAGATACGACAGGTTTTTCCTGTAAAAAAATGGTACCCAGGCATATATTTTCCAACAGGCTGAAATATAACGTAGGAAGCCATATTGTAAGTCTAAGTGTCAGGACAAGTATAGGCTCATTTAAGTGCTGAATATTAAAATAATCTGTAATTTGTAACAACTAGCAAGATTGCCTAAACTGCACTTAACAAAAGATACTCCATTTAATTATTTTAAGAAACCACCTATAATGTTAATAAAATGAAGCAGTGATGTGTAATTTCACTCCAGATATACAATATTGCTTATGTTGATAGATCAAAGCTGTAGAAGTAGAGCACATGCAAAGAACATTTAGACTGCCTCCAAAGTCACAGAGAAACCCTATATCAAAAAACAACAACAACAACAAAAAACATTTAGACTAAGAGTACATGATGTCCCATGTGCCAATAAATGTCTTCTTCAACCAAAGGTCACCTGCCATCCATTATCTATTACTCCATAGATATGAAATCTCTCATGTATCAGAGATGAATTCTCTCATGTACCAGAGATGTTTAAATGATGTAAAACAGACTCATATTACTTGAGTGTAGGAAGGTAACATCATAAATTCTCAAGAAAAGATGAGAGCTATTCAGTGAAGGACCAGAAATGGGAAGCCTGAGTTAGTCTGGAACATTCCATACTCTAGCTTGTTTCTTCTGTTTTCAAAAGTTAAGCTATCTTCCTATCTGAGCTAAGTCACAGTCTTCTTGATGTATTACAATTCCAGTCTTAAGTTATACCTTGCCCTACTAATACCATTAATTGTCCTGTTTGCCTTTCTTTGGTTTGTAAAGTTCATCAGAGTTTCCTATTGTGTACATATCATTTTAGAATCATTATTTTGGAATGAACCAGTTGTGTTGTTTTTCTGTTTTTAGTAAAACTGTTGTTTTCCCATTTTTCTTAGTGTGAATTCACCAGGCAAAAGATGAGCTTTATTACAACTGTTTCATATGCTTTGTTGATGTTTATGTCCTATTATCCTCTCTTGTTCCCCATATCCTCCCCCACAATGGTTATTTATGTATATATTGCTTTTCTCCAGCTGGACTACACGATTTTCTGTGGTGGGTTTTTCTCTCTCCCTCTCCGTCTTCCTCTCTCCCCTCTTTCTGTGTAGACACAGGCACATGAACATGTTCAGGCATTAAAGTATATGTGTGGTGGTCAGGACACATATACTTGGGTGAGTTCTCTCCCTCTACCATATGGGTCCTGGGGATCAAACTCAAATTATGTGCTTTTACCCACTGAGCCATCTTGCCAACCCTACACATTTTATCTTCAATTGCTTTCTATCTTTTCTAATATTGAGCATGATGGAGGCACATAATAGATGTTTGATAAATGTGAAGAAGACAGCAAATAAGTAAGTGAAGTTGAATAATTCAATTGGTATACATTAGTTTTCTTATGATCTTTTGTTACATGAAATGTGATAGGACTGGCTATGCATCCATTAAAAGAGTGGAGAATGATGCTACTTCTGAATCTTAAATTATGTAAGGGTAATGGATTTTGTTTCTAAAGTGGAGTGAGAGTCCTGGTGCTTTTGAGAAATACACCTCCATGTGCATTAAACAATTAGTTCAACGTATGCAGTTTGTAGAACAAATAGCATAATGTGGTTGGGTAGAACACAAAAGACACCTATAACCAAGTGCTAACATATTACCCACTAGCCAGTAGACTCAGGAAATCAGTGAGCAGTGTTGAGTCAGTCTCAGATCTAGAAAATGAGGATAATTTGCACTAGATTATCCAGAGATTTGATAAGATAACTTCTTCAAAGAGACCAGGCCAGTGAAAGGATGCAGTAATCAGTCAACATGCATTATCATTCACACCTTCTCCATTCATACTACATAAGGACCAACATTTTTCCTATACCTAAGAATAAGTTGAAAATGTAATTGGTTTTGAACGCCATTGGGCATATCTTTTTTTAATGATTCAGAAGCTACCTTGAGATTCTGCAAAGCACAATCATCATATTAACCTAAATAATCCACATACATCCTGCAATCATTGTTACAACAATTATGATTAATTTTCTATCTCTGCCCGTGTACATATTTGTCTATCTGTGTACCCGCCTGATTTCCTATCTACATATTTGTTTATGTATCTAGATGGCTTAATAAGTGTTTTTGAAATATGTAAATATAATATTGGACAAGTTGTGTGTATTATGGTTCTTCAATCATCATAATATTCCAATGCAGCATAATGCAGTAGGTTTACAAATTCCAAGCCCTTGTGTCATTTGACACTATGTCTTTAATTCTCTACCATATAGAGAGGATCTTTCATCCCAAGCCCCAGTGGTCGAGTCAGAATACTGTTTAGGAAAAGGAACAGCTGAAACTATTTAAAGAGGAGGCCTAATTCTTAAACTCATCATATATGCAAGGCAGTAAGTATAGGCTTGAAAATTATAGAATTTTGGGCTGATTTTGTGTTTTAAAAAAGAACAAAAACAACACCAAAAATATCTCTACTAAATCAGTGGGGCACCTCAGTCTGTGACAAAGAGGTTACATTTAACTTACTATTAGTTTGCTATCATTTAGCAACAAAGGTTGTCTTACGCTGTCAAGTTCACAGGAATAAGATCACAGAAATGTTTAACAAAGCAATGAGTTTCTATTTTGACTATTTTCTTATAAGACTATGAAGCTAATAAGAATATTTAAATAAGTTGAAAAGAATGAAGACAGTTTAAAGAAGTCTTATTTTATCAACTATGCTGCATTTCATCTTTGCCACCAAAATCTTACATAGATGTCAAACTGAGGTATTTCATTTCTACGTTTATGGAATAAATATTCTTGCCAATTAACCACTCTTCTGATAGACAGCTCAGTAAGACAATGAAAATAGCAATACATGCACGAGGAAATTGTAGGTGAAGATGACTCCAGTGAATATATAAATCTTCCTTTTCTAATATTTACAAATATATTTATATAAATCTTCACTTTTTAATCCATCCTGCCAGATACTCATATGTGACATGGGAGCATAAACACTAACAAACACTAAGCCCAGTGATAGGTGACAGAAAGCAACATCATTATTTCTGTAGTTACTTTGCTTAGTGATGAGATATTAATCATTTTAGAGGTATTTTAAATCAAATACACTGTCAATTTTTATATTTATTCTGAGGTTTTCTTAAGAAAAATATTCATTTATATTCCTTCATGTACTTATAATCATTTGACACTTAACAAAAAGGCTATATTTTGAGAGATGTTGGTTGGACTACTAACATGTACAGTCCTTGACTAACCAAAATCTTGTGTAGCACATGAGACACAGACATGACCTTTAGGTAAAGCTTATTATGTTCGAATCACAATAACTTTACCAAATTTCCCCTTCTTGACCTATGTATATAAGAAAGACGTAGTAAAGTTTGCCATCAACTATGCCATTTTTTAGTTTTTTTGTGTGTAATGGTGTGGATTTTTGCTTTACAGGTTTTGAAGATGTATTGTTACATACCTATCAGTTGATGGTCATTATTTATTTTTAGTTTATTTACTTAAATTTCATTTCACATTCCAATCACAGTTCTCCCTCCCACCCCCCCTGTCTCTCCCCCCACCCCCCCCTATTTTCCCCCACCCAAAAGGCTTCCATGGTAGTCAACAAAGTCTGGCACATTAAGTTGAGGCAGGGCCAAGCCCCTCCCCTCTGTATTAAGGCTGAGCTTGGCATCCCACCACAAGGAATGGGCTCCCACAAGCTAGCTCAAGCACCAATTATTTATATTTGTTATTTTATCTTATTCTCACTATGTTGAGC